TTATTTATATATTTTATTTAACCTTTAACCTTTTAACCTGTAGTTTTGCAACAGGCTTAAAAATCTTTCTTGATTAGAAAAAAAAAAAATTCCTCAAAAATAAAGAAGCATTACAGTCTTATAGAAAGCTTATTCAGAGGTAATATATTACAATTTCATGTCCTCTGGACAAGGATACTAAAATTTGGCTCTGGTTTTTGTAAACACTGTCATTAAACTATTTTATACCATAGCACTGCTGAATTCTCAAATCTGATTAGTCAGAAGGTGTTGATTATTCTTCAATACAGCAGCTCTGACAGTAATCCTGGCTGTACTTCAAATCACAGGTTAATATTAATGTAATTGTTCTAATACATGATAGTTTCTATAGTAACAAATTACACAGGGACTTGTATAACGGACATTTGACATAATCTAAGCCTTAAATAATGACATTAAATAATTAGACAAATCCATTAAATAATAAACGGATTTGAAAAAATGTAACGTATTCTAAAAAATGAAAACGTATAATCATTGACATTTATGGAAAGAGTCTGTAGTGTCAGACAGGAAGTTTTCCGCCATGGGAAAGTCTTCAGTACAAAGGAGTTTGGGTTTTGTTTTTGTCTTATTAATGAGAAACAAGAAGAAGCTGTTTATAGCTGTTACAGCATAAGAACTTCTTGATTTGTAGACGTTCCCAGCATTACATATAATTATAAATGGCTAAAAAGTGCAATATGCAATGTTTCATTAATAAAAGAAAAATTGTAATCGTTGGTGAATTGCTGTGGAGAAATAAAACACTTCAAGAAGAAACTTCAGAATGGTAACAGTACTTGAACAGAAGCTCCACTCCATCACACCACCCCATTGTTGATTATTTTCCTATTACAGCATGACACAGACTGTTTTATTCCTTTCTTATAGCCCCTTTGATTCAAGTCTGTGAAATTGGATAAAATAAAATAAAATAAAGGGGCTCCTCACTGACAACTTTTATATATTGAGCTAAGATTATGTTTGGCTTCTACACTGAAAAATCAAGGAATATCCATAAACAGAGTCTTCTCAAGAACCACAAAACTTTGATGCATGTAAATTCATTCACTGCATCCATGGGTATTAAACGAGTCTGGTATGAAGTGCTCTGAATGCAAATTTTCATAAAGCTCTGTGAAAAGAAATTCTTAAATTATCATGTAGCATTCAACCATCAATATCCTTAATTTAAAAAAACCTTGCCTTCAATGAGGACAGAGTTTATCGAAATACTCTGCTCTTTATTGCAGGAGGTAAATGCGCTACTCTAATTTCTTAGAAGACTGCACACTATTATTTAACATTAAATGAGATGTGAGTTTAAAGTACATTTATCAAATTTCTCCTGATCAAAGTTGGAAAGTATGGTGTCAGTTTTCAGTACGTACACGTCTCACATTCCTCTAAACCCGGAGCTGAAACCATTCACTCATGCTTTTGGTCCACTGCCATACAGCATTAAACCTGATACGTGATACCCTCATAGCATTTTCCCTTGCTTTGATTAAAGCTGGGATTTAACATCCAGAGCTGTTGGTTAAACCTAACAGTCCACTATAGCCTTTCTGGTATTCCTGTATCTGGAATGTTTTTCCTACCCAGCTAATAAAAAGAAGATAGAAAGAGTTTCCCTATTCATTAGTTGGATAACCCATGAGGGTGGTAAAAGGAGACTTTATTTATGGAGACAGCACTGCAAAAGGATGAGCCTAGCACTCAATATGTTGCATCTGAGACGAACAGGAAAAGCACAATTCCTGTCTGACCTCTTGTGATCTGGACTGCACAAGTTTTTGTATTTAATCATCTATTGCCTAGAGGTGTGCTGTTCCAGTATGGGTATGAGATAACATGATCAGGAAATCTGTCAAAAGAAAAAAATCCTAATTGCTAATTTTAAGTCCCAAATGAAAATATTTTAAATGTAACATATACACACATACATATATACATATATATACATATACGCACACACACACACACACGCACTGTAGATATGTTTTTGGAGGGAGGTGGGAGGAAACCAGGGAACCCTGAGGAAACCGACACAAATGCAGGGAGAACATGCACACAGACAGTAACCCAAGCTGAATATGAATCTTGGACTGTAGATCATTTTGTACTAAGGAGATACACACTGCTAATTGTAAAAAAAAAAAAAAAAACTCAATATGTTTATTAGTGAGGCTGCTGGCTGAACCTTCCCTTTGCCTTAATGTCTCAATTTGCGCAAAGAATTTTTCAGAACTTCAAACCACAGATGCATTTTTCTCCAGTCTTTGCCAGTTGTTAGTGGTTTTGGAATCCAAACCATGTCAAAAAAAGTTACAAAACAGCATGATCGATGATTATGCATCTGCAATGCCTTTATTTTCCTGAAAGAGACAGAGATATAATTTAGTTAAAATGGTGTGATATTTATGCCTCAGGTAGTGAAGGGTAAAGGAAAGGGCTTGTCTTTTTAGAAAGCAGGCACTTACATGCATTTCATTACTTGTTTTTGTCCATGGAATGTTGGCAGTGATGTTAATCAAGTTTGGTGCTGCGTACACACCTGAGGCAACGACAACAGTGTCATGAGTGCAATAGTATAATATCGCGAAGGGATAACAGTCCGATAGCTTAATGTTTCTCCAAACATAACTTTTCCAGACTTGTTCTTCTTGCCGTTAAAAGAGCAGGATGATGAGTTAGTCTGCGGTTTATTTGCTTTATTTAGTATGCTTGCTTAAGTCATTAGATTTGCTGTTACTCTTGGGCTGCACTGTTTGATTACCAGTGGTGGTAAAAGTACAGGCATCCTTTACGCAAGTAAAAGTGGAATTACTCATTTAAATACAGTGGTTATAAAAGATCCACACACCCCAGTTCAACATGCAGGTTTTTGTGATGTAAAAAGGAAACCAAGATAAATCATGTCAGATCTTTTTCCACCTTTAATGTGACAAAGCAACCAACGAAATTCAAGTGTATAACAAATAGAACTGTTTTAGCGAAAAAGAAACCGTTACAGTAACCTGCTTGCATAAGTGTGCACACCCTTTTATAATGGGGCGTGTGACTGTGCTGAGAATTAAACAATCACATTCACACGCATGTTCAAAAGTAATCATACACCTGTCATCAATGATGTGATTCTGATTAACCCCAAATAAAGATCAGTTGTTTTTCTTGACATCTTGGTTTCATCTGACTAGTTGTCATGGTCTGCAAAGAGCTTACAATGCATGTACAGGATCTCACTGTCGAAAGGTACTGATCGGTAGAAGGGTACAAGACTATTTCCTAAACATTAGATGTACCATAGAACACCATGGAGACCATCGAGTGGAGAAAATGGGGCACTACAGTGACACTACCAAGAAAAGGACATAGACGAAAGAAGAAGATGAAAACTTATCAGGGAGGCTGCCAAGAGACAACATTAAAGGAGTTGCAGGAATATCTGGCAAGTAATGATCACTCCCTGCACGTGACACTCTCTGCATGTGACAATTCCTGACAACAGTCGCTTGTTTTCTTCACATGTCTGGGCTATAGGTTAGGGTGGCCAGATTTTCTCATGGGAAAAAACAAAAAAAAACATCTAAGCCAACCTAATTCACCCCAAAACATATGGTAAAAATGGTTTATGGCCTGATGAGAACAAGATAGAACTTTTTGGGCATAATTCTAAAAGATATGTTTGGCGCAAATAAAAGACAGCTTATCACCCAAAGAACGTCATACCCATGGTGAAGCATGGTGGTGGCAGCATCATGCTATGGGGCTGCTTCTCTTCAGATGGCACTGGGGCTCTAGTCAAAATAGAGGGAATCATGGATAGCTCCAAATCCAAATCTATTTTGACACAAACCATGCAGGCCTCTGTTAGACAGCTGAAGATGAAGAAAAAATTTCGCCTTCCAGTATGATCCAAGAAAACAAAAGAATTCAGAAGAAGAAGATCAAGTTTTTGGAATGGCCCAGTCAGAGCCCAGATCTAAATCCTATTGAAAACCTTTGGAATGACTTGAAAAGGGCTGTGCACAGGAGATCCCCTTGCAATTTGATAGATCTGGAGCATTTCTTGCAAGGAAGAGTGGAATAAAATTGCAAAATCAAGATGTGCAAAGAAGTTGGTAGACTCTTACCCAAAAGACTGAGTGTTGTATTACAAGCACAAAGCGCTTTAACGAAGTATTAGTTACGGGGTGTGTGAATAGTCACATGCCCCATTATAAAAGGGTGTGTACCCTTATGCAACCACGTTATTGTAAGTTTTTTCTTTTTCCTTTTTACACCCTAAAACATTTCTATTTGTTTTTCACCTGAATTTTGTTGGTTGCTATATCATCTTAAAGGTGGAAAAGATCTGACATGATTTGTCCTGGTTTAATTATTATGTCAAAGAAATCTGCAATTTTAAAGGGGATGTGTAGACTTTTTATATTCACTGAAAGCGATAACAGGAACTAACTTGTTTCATGGACATTCCACAACATTAAATATAACTATAAATGGATAAAATGTGTCGTACTTTAATAAATAAAAAATTCTAATCATTGGCAAAGCGTTGTGATATATGAGGAATAACACGTTTCAGGGTGTGCTGTTATTGAAAAAGAATAAATGTTGGGGTGGTAACAGTCACTCTGCTTAATCACACCATCCCACTGTTGATTATTTTCCTATAACAGCATACAGCCACATGTTTTATTCCTTACTTATAAAATATCAATATGAAAACCTATGCAATTGCCTTGCAACCTATTTGGAGTAGTGGATTTTCACTGTGAATAATCTACGTAATAGTACTCTCTTTCAGCTTTTCCCGTTAGCGGTCGCCAGAGTGGATCATCGGTCTGTGTATGTGGTTTGGCACAGTTTTTACACCGGATGCCCTTCCTGATGCAACCCTCCCCAGTTTTATCCGGGCTTGGGACTGGCACTGAGAGCACACTGTTGCACGCAACCCCACTGGCTGGGGTTTGTTCCCTGTTCGGGAATCAAACCCGGGCCACATCGGTGAGAGCACTGTGGCCTAACCACTAGTCCTCCAGGGACCAAGCTAAGTAACAGTACTACTGAATAGTTAATCATGTATCTGTACATTAGAAGTTCACATGACATGGAAGATTAGTAAAAAAAAAAGCATGCAGTTGTTTTCCATTTATCTACTCCATTTAAGAATCCGAAAATACACGCAGTAGTTTTTTCCACTCTATTCTACGTATCTATAAAAGTATCAACATAAGCATCAGGATCCAAGTCTTTTTGTACTCTTCTGCCTCCAGCATAGTTCTGTAATGGCATTTACATGCCATCACGAGTATGTAGTCGCATTTCTTCTCGAAAATAAGATGTTAGAATGAGAGGCAGACGTGTCAGGTCTGCCCACACATGGTTGGCACAGACACCTGTACCAGTGATTCAAGAACAAGTGCTGGTTACGTGACAAAGGTTGTTTTTTGTTCTCACAATCATAAACTGACAACAGATTATGGACGGAGATATAATTATGGCAATTGTGAAAAAATACCACAAAGATACCTTTAGGTAATAAAATGGATTTCAGAATTATCTACTATAATCTGCTGTAAAACCTAAAATGTGTTTTTTTAGCTTGTAAACCCACTTAGGTTTTATCAACATTACGTAATGCCTGAGGTTTTTATTTATTTGATGTGCTTTATTATATGAAGTTCAGCTAGTCAGGCTGGCCCATACACATTCAATGACCAAATAACCAATTTTGATAATAAAAGCATTTACCAAAGTCCCAATTAAGGTTAGTCATGACATCGTAGTCAATATCCGTGTTATCAATCTGGCATTACCTCAAGAGCAGCGGTGAATAAAGTACTGAGAAATTATACTTAAGTGAAAGTTTAGATAATGTGTCAAAATCTTACTCAAGCTTACTTTAAATTAAGTAATGTTATGTTTTCATGTGAAAAGTAACTTTTATTACTTACCTAAAGCTGTTAGAAGATGATTTTTGTTTTAAAGAACCACTTCGTTTTTTGCTGTTTAAGTCTGCAATATTTACCATTAGCTAGAATTTGACTTGCTGCCTATCTAATTACACTAGCTACTGGAATCAATACTACTGGGTCCCTGGAGGACTAGTGGTTACGCCACAGCGCTCTCACTGCTGCGGCCCGGGTTCAATTCCCGGCCAGGAAACCAACCCCAGCCACTGGAGTTGCGTGCAACAGCGTGCTCTCCGTGCTGGTCCCAAGCCCGGATAAAAACTTGGGGAGGGTTGCGTCGGGAAGGGCATCTGGTGTAAAAACTGCCAAATCAAATATGTGCACCAACAATCCGCTATGGCGCCCCCTAACGGGAGCAGCTGAGAGAGAAACAACAACAGCTGGAATCAATACTACTTTACCATGGCATCAGCAAAGAAAACAGGCTAACTTAGTTAAATATATCCAGTTAATGTTGGCAAATTAGCTAAACTTTCCTCAACATGCTTTTTAGAAGGAGTTCATGTCTTCTATATTGAGGTAAAGGAGACGCCTCATTTTATACGACTCCTTGTTTACTGCAGCATATTAAAACATTTTACATAAGACTAGAAGGAAAATAACAAAGATCAGTTTTATTCCTCTTATACCACAGCAATTTGCCAATGATTACAATTTTTGTTTTGTAAACAATGAGACATGGTACATTTTATCCATTTACAGTTACGTTTAATGTTGTGGAACATCCACGAGACAAATTAGTTCCTGTTATCACTTTTTCACTCTTTTTTTTTTTCCTCACAGCTTATTGTGTTACCAACAAATCACAAAGAAGATGTTCCTGCCAGAAAACTTAACGTTACAGCTTTACCTCTGATGTTACAAAGCGCTGACACTGGAGATTCCTTCCATACATGTTACATAAACGTCTCTTACAGAAAATATCAGTGATTTCACGCATTTTTTCATCACTTCATGTAGAGAGTCAACCATACAAGTCCCTGTGTTAGTTGTTACTTTAGAAACAGTAACATATTAGAACAAGCGCATTAATATAAATCTTGCAGCTGGAAAATAATCACTTCAGGGTGGTAAGAGTAAATCCGCTTCATATCTCCACCCTGTCATTGATTATTTTCCTATAACAGAATGATCCCATATGTTTTATTAGTTACCTAATTCATTTCATTATGATGTTATCAAGTTACCATGGGAAATAGTTAACAGGCTTATTGCTTATAAGGAACACAGATAATGGAAAAAGTGTTATGTTTTTTTTTGGCCTTCGTGTCAAATCACACTGGAAAAATTTGAATGTGCGACTAATACAATTTGAAGATTGTAAAAACACTTGTGAACTTGAAACCAACAGCGATTAAACTTTCTTTAGATCCCATTGTTTAATATTTAGAAAATATTTAACAAAATCTCAACAAATATTTCAGCTATGACTATCTGATAATTGTCAGCTGTTTAAATAGGACTCAGAGATAAAGTTCATATGAGTTCACATGAGACTTGGCAGGCAAAGATATACGATAAAATAAAATGGAAAAACGCAATATGTCTGTTCAGTCCAGAAAGAGGAATACTGCATACATCTACCAGGGAAAAAATACAGGCAAGGTTTAATGCAGTGCAGAAAATCCCACACACCCTCTTACTGTACATACAAAAGCTTTTATGATGGGTTTCACTGAACTGTTACATTTGTTGGCTTATAAAAATATGACCAACAGCTTTTTTCATGCATGTGCCAGATAGCCTTCACAGTAAATTTTGAACCTCCAATTGGATAATAATCAGGACTCATGTCTGGAAATACGTTAAAAATATTACAGTCAGTCTGACCTTTAAAGTCTATGGCCTCATTTATCTGATTTTTGTGTATGCAAAAGCACATTTTGTGTGCTTATGTATGTATAGAGTATGTATGTATATAGTAACAAATATGGGCAATTAAAGCTGGAAATAAGTGAATAAATAAAAGAATAAGTAATGCAGTTATACATAAAAGCACTGTGAAAATCTATTGAGTAATTTGGCAATTCATTCGAGAGTTCAAACGTGGGAAAATAAATATTGATTTTAGAAGTAATATAATTTTAGCATTCATTTCTTACGTTTTACCTTCAAAAACTGAAAAACAATCACTCTAGAGTTATTTTTATTCAGGTGCCTAAAAAAGAATATAAAAAATGCATTAATTGTCTTAATGTCATGTAATGTAATGGCAGTTAAGAGTTTAAGAAGTGACTGCACTTTTTGCAACTTTGCCTGCACTATCAAGATTTTGGCTTGTGACATCTTGCATGGATCTGTGTTGCAGTTAAAACATGTTAAAAGGACTACATTTTTATGGAAAAAATGCATCTTAATAGACTGAATTTATCACACTAGGGGCTACTAATCAGTAGCTGTGAAATAGAAATGTTTAAAGAAAAAAAAAAAAGATTGTGACTGCGGCAGAACCCGTTTCCCCAAAACGTACAACCACATACCACAAAAATAAATTTGACTTGCAGGCTTTGTGCCAGGCGAGATGTTAAGCCAATTTTGAGGCTCGCAGAAGAGAAGAAGGGGTTAGCAAAGTGCAACGCAGGCACCAGACAGATTCAGTGCTGTTACTGTTGCTGTACCTGAGAGAACAGAGCAGATGTGACATGTGACCTGAGAAGAATTTCTACTGAGCTGCAAGTGTGACAGCTATAAACATATAAAATACATAAACCTGAATTCAGACTAAGTTCAACTGTCAAAACATTTTATTCTTTACTTTTAGCACTGGCTTTGTTTGCTGTTTGATATAAAACTTTGATAAACCTCTATAAAAGCTGGCATTTGCTAAGGCTGAGGATTTCTCATGATTTCTCAAATTTTCTCAATTTCTCATTACTAAAATCCCAAATAACACGCCTAATTTGTGTGTGAAATCAGATCAATTGCATGCGTAGTAGTCATACGTGAACATTTACGTGATTTTTAGACACACAGACATGTAATGCATGTGCATTTTTTTTTTACACGAGATATTTTTGTTTAAATGTGATTTTTTCATATGATTCCTTTATTTGTTATTATTCTTTTCATGTGACTTTTTTCTAGTTTAATTTTTCACTAGAACTGAATTACAAATAACAATTAGCAAAAATCTCCTGCGTATTTAAAATCTTTTTAAATACTTTTTATTAAAAAAAAAATTTATCTTTTATTTATGTGACTTATTTGCAAGATTAATTTATTTTCACATCATATCTCCAAATGATTCATTTATTTTTCACATGATATTTTTCCCCCACATGATTTATTTACTTTCACATGTGAGTGTTTTTTTTAACACATGATTCATTTATTTTTAATATGAGTTTTTATTAATGATTTATTAATTTTCCCATGATTTTTTTTCATGTGATTAATTTTTCATAGGTGATTTACACATGGTTTTTACATATTATTTCATTATTTTTATTTTCACATGTGATTTTTTTTTACACATGATTCATTTTTCATGTGATTCTGTTTTTTCACATGATTCATTTATTATTATTATAATTGTTTATGTATGGCGTGTGGTTATGTTTATCACATTTTATTCACATGATGTTACATGATGTGCAATTTCAGGGCATAACATGCAGAAGTGTACTTTCAGAACAGAAACTGTAAAGTTGTAACCTTTCTATTACAACACTAAACTTGTAACTTGTTCTGACATTGTTGTGTAATTTATGCTTTGACTGGACAATATGTGTTTAGACCATCCATTTTTAGTTTCTCTCCAAACGCATTTTGAGGGAAAAAAAAGGACAGTAAATAATCCACATTGTTCACGTTCATTAGACCTGCGACTGTATTTTACATTTCTCAGTCACTGCTGATGACATGTTATGGATATGTGTGAAAAACATCAGCGCAAATGGAGATGAAATCTGACATGCACGTCACTCTGTCACTCTGTATATTCACCTGACATGACTGTCTCTAATAGGCTGCATGAATCTATAGTCTGGGCTAGAAAGAAATCAGCCTGTCTTTTATGTTTTACAGATGAAGGGGGCGGATTTTTAGCCCTACTAGCACATTTATACCAG